ACACGCTTCAGGTTACAGACTCCACTAACCCAGAAATAGTACCTCGGGTTAAGAACTTTGCTACAGGATGAGAACATAAATTGTGTGGCGGTGGCGGCATGGCAGCAGCAGGAGGCCCCATTAGCTAAAGTGGTGCTTCAGGTTAAGAACAGTTTCAGGTTAAGAACAGACCTCCAGAACGAATTAAGTTCTTAACCCGAGGTACCACTGTACCACATTTTCAGAGTGATTTTTATATGTGTCTAGATTCCGCAGAGACATCACCTTGCCAACAAAGGTCCGTATAGTTAAAGCTACGGTTTTCCCAGTAGTGATGTATGGAAGTGAGAGCTAGACCATAAAGAAGGCTGATCGCCGGAAAATTGATGCTTTTGAATTATGGTGCTGGAGGAGACTTGAGAGTCCCATGGACTGCAAGAAGATCAAACCTATCCATTCTTAAGGAAATCAGCCCTGAGTGCTCACTGAAAGGACAGATCCTGAAGATGAGGCTCCAATACTTTGGCCAACTCATGAGAAGAGAAGACTCCCTGGAAAAGACCCTGATGTTGGGAAAGATGGAGGGCACAAGGAGAAGGGGGCGGCAGAAGACGAGATGGTTGGACAGTGTTCTCGAAGCTACAAACATGACCTGACCAAACTGCAGGAGGCAGTGGAAGACAGGAGTGCCTGGCGTGCTCTGGTCCATGGGGTCACGAAGAGTCGGACACGACTAAACAACAACAACAACAAAGATTCTGCCGAAGTCACGTACCCCTTTGTTTGTGAGAGTAGGTATGTAACATTCTCAAAACTGCTGCCCATCTGGGACACTTAACCACAACAGAAAACATGCAGCTGTTCAAATCAGAAGTGGGACACAGCATGGATATATTTGTTTCATGGCTTCCAGGGAGAACCAGCAGGGTAGGGGGGTGTTCCCCACTTGAGCTATATGCTGTAGTAGTGTAATTACATCACCGCCATCATGTTTGCCGTAGAAGTACATTTGCTTATAGCTTTCAGATCACATTAGCAAAAGCAAGCACCCCGGCCTGGTTTGTCTCAGGACTTCTTAAGCCTCCTGGAGCATGATCAGGGAAGGTCCTGTTGGGATGAGAGCTCTCCTCAACTGGGCAGGGTGTACACTGATGTGGCAGCCGATGTCTAGGCTGCTGGCAGGAACCCTTTCTAAATGCCACATATTGGTGCCTTATCTCCGTGACTGAGCAGGAAGGCTTTGGCACTTGCAGAACGAGCCACTTCAAAGCAATGCAGGGAGGGGGAAATCCCTCTCTAAATCAAGAAAGATGCTGAGATAAGTAGACGGAAGCAGCATCAATAGCACAACTAAAGGGAAGGGGGGGAAAGAGATTTATAGGGGCATCTGCGTGCGAGATGCAAAATCACTCTGCTCGTTAAAAAGTCAGATCCGAATGGGGATACTCAGAATAATCATCTTGTTCAGAATTGTCCTGGCTGGCTTCTTTATGAGCTTTCAAAGGAAAGGAGAAGATATTAATTTATACCAGCACTTTAAAGACAGTGAGTTGGAGAAAGTAGGCAGCATGATTGGAAGGGCTCTGGAACACAGGGAGGAAAGGTGAACTGAAACTGCTTGGCTTGTCACAGATGTTTTCAGGAGGTGGAAAAAGCTTCCCTCTCTCTTCAGAGGTTTTTCAGCACCTCTTTCAAAAGGTTGACTTATTGATTTATGCTGCCTTCATATCGCGCCGTTTTCGGTAATGTCACTGCATAGCCAAACCTGATTGGCTGTGTGGCATTGTAACATCACATTTTCATCATTTGACTCCTGGTCCTGGTGGGGTCAAATGATGAAAATCCAGAAAGCAGCAGCAGCAACCAGAGGGAACAGTGGTATTTGAAATGGTAATATTCAGAGCAGATGTCTTTGGCATGAAATCATCAGCTCACCACAACACCTCACCTAGGAGGTGTGGTGCAATATTCCTCAAAGTTTTTCAAGGATAAGCCATCTGCCTTATTCTGATGTCTTGCCCACATGTCTTCTGCCCCTGCTCCTCATTGCCCAGCTGCGGGATAAGCAGCCTGATGCTTATGTCTAATTAATGCATGAAGGGGTTAATACCACAGAGGAAGCTGTCCTGCCAGGCTTAGTTCACCTTCAGAGGGACTAGGTCAGTGATGGCCAAACTTGGCCCTCCAGCTTTTTTTACAATTCCCATCATCCCTGACCACTGGTCCTGTTAGCTAGGGATGATGGGAGTTGTAGTCCCAAAACAGCTGGAGGGCCAAGTTTAGCCATCACTGGACTAGGTAAACAAGACTTGTTCCCCTCAATCGACCAGTAAAGCTCAGTGTGTGAGGAGATCTGTGCTGATTGCAGCAGCTAAGACCACATGGCTTTCACAAGCCAATCTTGTGTTCCTATACCACAAATTTAGAAACTTTCACCACTGTAATTAAGTCAATCTTTACCGCCTGTGCAACTTTTCTGAATGCTGTATGGAAAAGCACATCAAACAGACATTTGCAGAGTTTGTAAGTAAACCATTTTTATCTTACCAAACGTGTGGTCTTTTTTCTACGCTGGAGGAAGATAGAAACCTTAGAAGGAACTCACAAGGGCATATTTCAAAGGTCTAACAACTTAGATTTCCCCGCTTTACTTTGCTACATGTTTTGTGATTTTAAATCTCTCTCACCAAAAAGTACTTGCTTCAAACCTGGATCTTGGCATCCAGGAATTCTCCTTTTATACCTATTTTTCCTTGCCACCAACACCAACCACATGTTCTATGAGTGTTTAACACACTCAAATCATTCTGGACAAATCCCAGATCAGCTTAATTCAGTTTGGGAACCAGACTGAAAATACACAGCGAAGGAGACAAAAACGAGAACACAGCAGCCTAATGGGGACTGAGTATGCCCAGTGCATATAGAATACAGAATGACTGGTGGGGGGGGGGAGGGAGGCTGGGAGACCAGAGGAGGAAATGGAATAGAGCATCCTGGAAAAGGGCATGGCTGGCTGACAGGAACCTGAAACAGGAGGATTCCACATTGCCACATTTTGCTGCAACTCTCACTTGTGATATACAGTCATAGAAATGCAGGGAACGCTTTTGCTCCTCAAGGAACGCCCTTCTTTCCAAGAGTCAACTGGAAATTGCAAGAAAGGTCAGGTGTTCCCCCAGGCCTGTGTCTAGTGGAGATTTTAATTATGTGCAGTGATAATGGAAAGCTGGGAAAGCATAAGGCGTTTGTCTGGCCCTCGACTTCTCAGGGGCTGTGAGGTTTGTGTGTGTGTGAGAGAGAGAGAAAGATTTGAAAACCAGCTCAGGGCAATATCCCATTATTTCATTCGATAGGATCCTGAGCTACTTTCCCTTTCAGCTGTTGTATCAGTGCCACAGCGTGAAAGGTGTGAAGGAGAAGTGAAGCATTCTGAAAAATATGGAGAGACCCAAAAAACCAAAGCTTCCAATAAGCCCCTCTAAGGTAAACTTTTGCCCCTCCTTTCTATTTCAAAGGGAACTCACTTGAGAAACTCGATAAAGCACAGCTAAAAAATTTATTCTCTCTCTCTCTTTTTCCTTTACGTTTTGTTTTTTCTTAAGCTGCCAATTTGGTCCCAGCAAGATTCAGACCACCATGACCCAAAAAGAAACCACTGAGTTTCTCAGGCACGGTTCCTGGGCCCAAGGATTGGGGCACTACAAACAATTCTATACTTCCATTTGTGAAATACTGGAGGCCATGCAACTCAGAGCAAAAAAAGGTAAAGGGAACCCTGACCATTAGGTCCAGTCGTGACCGACTCTGGGGTTGCGGTGCTCATCTCGCTCTATAGGCCGAGGGAGCCGGCGTTTGTCCGCAGACAGCTTCCGGGTCATGTGGCCAGCATGACTAAGCCACTTCTGGCGAACCAGAGCAGCGCACAGAAACGCCGTTTACCTTCCCGCCGGAGCGGTCCCTATTTATCTACTTGCACATGACATGCTTTCGAACTGCTAGGTTGGCAGGAGCAGGGACCAAGCAACGGGAGCTCACCCCGTCACGGGGATTCGAACCGCCGACCTTCTGATCAGCACCTATGGTTCTACTCAGAGCAAAACTTAGCTGGTTCCAAACTTATTCATCCTTACTAAGCAGTAGACACTCACTGTGTTTAATGAAGATTTTTCTCTGAAGTAATTGTCCATAGAATTGTGGCCTTAAGTCAAGTTAACATTCAGTCTGATTGAATAACTCATTAACAGCTGGTGGGGTGGTGGTATTTTATTGTTTTTTTAAAAAATGTGGATTTTTTTAAAGAAAAAAACCTGATGATCAATCAAGTTTCCTTCCCTTTAAAGGTTCTCCAGTACTGATGTCATTGATGTAAATGATCAGCCTCTCATGACTCAAGCAATGTGTTTTAAGATAATTTCCCAAGCAACAAATGAGCCCCCCCCATGTTAATCAGTCAAGAGAAACTGTTGTCTTCATTAAATACACTCACTATGTCACTTCCACTGAACTACTGTAAAATTTATGTTAATTGGCTAAATAACTGATTAACTGGTTAAAAGGTAGACAGTTAATTTACCCAGAAAATGCATTATTTGGTGAACAGCCTAATCAAATACAAACTTGGGAGAACCATCATATTGATAAATGCATTCTATATTTAGGGAAGGGCAAGAGGTGTCACCAGCTCCAAGTCGCAACTGGACAAGGGCCCAAAGTTGTGTACCATTGACAGTGGTTTGAATAATGTTGAAATATATAATATTTTAAATAAATAAATAAATATGTTAAAATAGGAATCAAATAGGGTTTGAATATGGGAGCTGGAAAGCTAAGAGGCTTAGCAAGGGCAGCTGACCAGGCAGCACCATATACCACTACAACTCCTCATTAACGTATCTCATACTAATAAGGAATGTCCCTTGTTGCTGAACGCAGTAGCTGGAACTCACAACTCCATAGGCCTTTTAACATGGCCAGCTTAATTGCTTGCTAGTAACTGCAACCCAAGCGACGCAACTCACTTGCCATTGATGACTCCATCTGGATTCAGCATGGGGATGACCTTGAAGATGAAGCATTGCCTCAGGAGATCTGCAATGGGGTCACTGCTGAGCAGGAACTCAAGTGTCCCCTTCATTACCCAGCTGGCATTGCTCTCACCCGGGTGGACCCTTGCCATGAGCACCACATAAGGACGGTCACCTAGAAAACACAGTGGGAGGGGTATTCTTTAAAAAAATGCTTTTTCATGTCCTTCTCCCCCTCAATTATCATCATCATCATCATCATCATCATCATCACTACTGCTACTACTAACATACAGTGGTACCTTGGGTTAAGTACTTAATTCATTCTGGAGGTCCGTTCTTAACCTGAAGCACCACTTTAGCTAATGGGGCCTCCTGCTGCTGCCGCACCGCTGGAGCACGATTTCTGTTCTCATCCTGAAGCAAAGTTCTTAACCCGAGGTACTATTTCTGGGTTAGCGGAGTCTGTAACCTGAAGCATATGTAACCTGAAGCATATGTAACCCGAGGTACCACTGTACAGTCATACCTTGGATCCCAAACACCTTGGCTCCTGAACAAATCGGCTCCCGAACAATCGAAACCCAGAAGTGAGTGTTCTGGTTTGTGAACGTTCTTTGGAACTCAAACATCCAATCAGGCTTCCATGGCTTCCGATTGGCTGCGGGAGCTTCCTGCAGCCAATAAGAAGCTGCGCTTTGATTTCCGAACATTTTGGAAGTCAAATGGACTTCCAGAATATGGATTGTGTTCGACTTCCAAGGTACGACTGTATATCTGTCCCAACAACCTCATGGGAGCTTTATATTCTAAAATGGCACTAAAGCACCATGAGACTTTCCCATGAGACTTTTCTTCTGGGTGGAAGAACAGTGGTCCACTGGCTTCGTACGTGTGGTCCACAGCATGTCTATGGAATTCAAATTGAAATGCCATAGAATAAAATACAAGAGATAAAAGAAGCGATACAAATACAACTAAAAACCATACAGCATCTAGCACAGAACACAGGCAGAAAAATTGTTAACTGGTCTGCCAAAACACTCAGCAATTTTCAAGTGGTTGGAGGGAGGAAATGGAGGAACCACTGGCTTTGACACCCAGAGCTGCTTTCTCCATTACTCTGTCAGGTTAAACAAGCATGTAGCAAAAACACATATGCCTGTAGTGGCCATCATTTCTGACAGCCACTACAGACAGATGTTGGCAGAGAATCAAGGCCTTCCAACCCATTTTGGCTTTGCATCACATTTGACAACATACCAGCTGTATTCTTTAGTCTCTCTCTATTCTAGCCTGCAGCTGAGAAAGGGGGGGAAGTACCATCCACCAGAAAAAGCAAGGGCGAAAAATAGGCCATGCTGTGATTTGGGTCTCGCATGTATTAGTACATCTGCAGTAGAATGGTGTGGTTATGTTCTGGGATTGTAGAATGGATTGTACCAGTTGGAGACTATACAGGTGGGGAGTAGCATTTTCAATGTTCCCCCATATTTTAAAAAGCCCACACAAAAAACTGCAAGGAAAGAAAACTGCACATGCATGTGCTGCTGTGGGGATCTTTGGCTCTCCAGATGTTGTTGGATTCCAATTCCCACCATCCCTGACCAGGCTGGTTGGGGCTGGTGGGAGTTGTAGTCCAATAACATCTGGTGGGTCATAGATTCCTCGCCCCTGAACTAGTGCAGCCAGGGGAAATGTACCGTGTGTGTGTATGTGTGTTAGTTCATAAAATTTATACACCAGATCATTATAGTATACAAAAAAAAATCAAGAAAATCAGGGAAAATTTACAACCCTGCTTTAAAACATAGAAAGGTTAAAATATTTTAAAAGATTAAAGTCAGCTTAACTTTCTAAGCATTTTAAATTATATGTCCACCTTTCAATAAAAGCAATAATTTTCAAAGCAGATTAAATTGTAATACAAATAATTGAAAGAAATCGCAGGTTTAAAAATTTATAATATGTTTTTTTAAAGAAACCTGATGAACAGAAGTGAAAACAGTAAAATCAGCAGCAATCAAACCAAACAACCCCTGCAATTCCAGTTTTCTGCGTGCGGTGAGGTCAGCTGGCTTCTTTGACCTAGGCGAGCATGCAAAAATTTTCCTACTCCAACTCAAGTTTGAAGTGGTACACTACCATTTAGATTTTAGAATGCTGTATTACTTTTACTGTTGTTAGCCGCTCTGAGCCCCGCTTCAGCTGGGGAGGGTGGGATATAAATAATAATAATAAATATTATTAATATTATTGCCTTATTCCTTTCACTGCTTACTTAGATCCAGCCTTCTCTATTATCTCTAACAAGGAAAAGCTGCTAGGGAATGGGGGCTTTCAGCTTGATGAGAGTGGGGGCAAAGCACAGCCTAGAAGAGGGCTCTCCGAGTACAGCCCCTTGTATTGGCTATCAGAGTCAGAGGCCACTACAGGAGCAGTGAGACTTCGGCACATGCGGCCCCTTACAAAGAAATTAATGTGTGTGCTGGCCCATATCCGCTGTCTCAATTTAAACACCATTACTCACAGCTGCGAACACAATTCCAGGCACTCGCTTGTTCGAGTAATGAACAGCCACTTCTGATTCCGAGTCCCTTTCAAAGTTTGCCAGTAAAAGTGGAAGGAGAATGAAATATCTTCTTTCTGAGAATGATGAGCGCTGACAATCTTGATCCCTAGCTGGCAACCCATCTGACAATTATATGATTTGGTGTGACACTCAATGAGAGATCGTTCCCCCCCCTTTTTTTTTTGCGTGTGTGGGGGGGAACAACAATTGATGGCACCACGCTGGTTCTGAGACTGTTTTGTCATGCTCAACCAGATCACTTCAGAAAAATGTAAAGCTACATTCAGTTGCTTTGTGGGGTTTGGATTTGGAAGAGGCCCCAAGGGAAGGACGAAGTAGGAACGACACTTCTCTCTTTTAAGAAGAGTCGAAAGCAAGAGCACTGTTACAAAAGCTGCTTTTATGTCACGCCGTGGTGCTACTGTGTATCTCACTGTCATCCATGGATTGTGGAATCATCTCACGCAAGGGTGGAGAATCAGTTTTCAGCTCAAGGGTCACATTCCCCTCCTAGGACCACATGGCAGGGCCAGAGGCAAAATAGTCTATAACGGTGTGGGACGTTTGCAGAACAAATAAATCCAGCATAAACGAGATGGAAGCATGTCCAAGGGGTCTTGAATATGAACCATGCCCCTCTCTTCATCTGTCAAAGCCTGGAGAGTTTGCACTCACTGGGTGTTTCTGCATGAGTTGCTAGTTGTTGTTGTTGTTGTCTTTGTGACCCCATGGACCAGAGCACACCAGGCACTCCTGTCTTCCACTGCCTCCCGCAGTTTGGTCAAACTCATGTTAGTAGCTTCAAGAACACTGTCCAACCATCTCATCTTCTGCCGTCCCCTTCTCCTTGTGCCTTCCATCTTTCCCAACATCAGGGTCTTTTCCAGGGAGTCTTCTCTTCTCATGAGGTGGCCAAAGTATTGGAGCCTCAGCTTCACGATCTGTCCTTCCAGTGAGCACTCAGGGATGATTTCCTCCAGATGCCAATTTGCCATGCTGGTTGGGGATAATGGGAGCTGCAGTTCAACAACTGGAGGACACTGCGTTACATCTCTCCTCATCCCTGACTATTGACCTTTCTGGCCAGGGCTGATGTAGTTCAACAAAATCTGGAGGGCACCATATTGGCTACCCCCAGGTTCCTATACAGTCTGTGTTATGCTTGAAGCAACAGACAGTACAAATGCCTTCTCCTGAATCATATGCATCGTATTTCTTATTTCCCAGCTATTTCATTGGCTGCCCTCTCCCTTTCTCGTCTTCTCCCCCTCACCATGATTTAGAACTGCTCTCTGGTCTCATTGCTGAGCGAAACCTATGGGATTCTGCATTTGTGGCTTGGAATTGGACTCCTGAGGGCCCCTAATGGACAACAGCTGTAAATAGCACTGAGCCAAATACAACATGCTGCCTTAAAAAATAAAATAAAATTGATGACTGAAGCTTTAACAATCCTTATCTGTTCTCAGAGGGGTGGGGAGGGAGGGGAGCACAGCATGTTAATTGAGATGCCTTGTTTCTGCTTGTAGATGCCTTCTTCTTCTTGATCACAGGTAGGGATGGAAGGGTCTGTCAATTTCAGTGCTCTTTGTTTCGCATTTTTCCAAACTTAGATTCACTTCCCCACAATTCTGCAGCAATCTGTGATTTCTTTTTTGTTAAAAAAAAACCCTCATGAAAATTATCCAGCATTTCAGCATGAATTTCTCCTAATAAAACCATTTTTTGCATGCAAGCAATTTCCCCCAATGTAAATAATTTCTATGTATATGTATTTTTAGGCACACTTTTAACTATTGTATGCATTTTTGTAAACATTTGTTAGACATCTGCATCGCAAAATTTAGATAAATGTAAATTTCACATGTTGTTTCAGAAGGTGTGAACTGAGTAAGTTTGCATTAAAATGCAAACTGAAATGACTATCTCTCCTATCCCTGCCACTCCATTTCATTCTCACTAGCACATTAGTCTGTTCCATCTTGCATGCCATTCCATCCTATTATATGCTTTTCATACCCACTTTTTAATGTAACAAACATCCTTTTCAATGCATTTATCAGCAAGACACACATGCTGTTGCAAACATATTTTAAATAAAATATGCATTTTTTTCAGGTGCATTTTTTGTACACCAAAACTGTATTGCACAATCCAGAGGTGTGTGTTGTCAGACTAAGGAGTTGCAAGCAAGTCTGGGAGAGTCAGATTGGGTTAGTGGTCCACTGCACATAGCATACAAAACAAATTTCTCTCCTATCCCTAAGTAATGCTTAGGTGAGCATGCTGGTGAGCTCCCCCTGGGATGGGCGAAAGGATCAGCATGGTGAAAACACACTCATCTCTTCTGTACCGTAATCAAAGAATTGTAGAGTTGGAAGAGACTACCAGAGTCATCTAGTTCAACCCTCTGCAATGCAGGAATCTTTTGCCCAATGTGGGGCTCAAACCCACAACCCAGAGTTTAAGAGTCTCATGCTCTCCTGACTGAGTTATCCCAGCAAACATATGATGCTCAGATACATGCCTGAACTAGCCATTCAAATGGTATTACTGATTCATCATGACCTCAGATAATGAGACAACCCAAGTCAGAATTGCCT